AAAATAATTAGCCTACATCTTCACTCACTCAGCAATAACATGTTATATGCAACAATCAAGTTATTGTCAAAAGATGTACACTAATATTCGTTATGACTAAATATGCAAATATGTCTGCTGAATTAAACAGCATTTACAAAGGTTATCAAATTATCTCAGAACTTGATACAATGAAAATGCGCACATAATTAAATGCTATCTTTATATGCCTTTGAATTAATCATCGGCAGTGTGTGTATTGTCACAAAGCAGTAATATTGTCGTTATATACATAAAAACATTTAATATAAAAATAGCTCTACGGAGTTATGAACTTGTTTATATAGAAATCTTAACATGATTTTAGATTAAGGAACAATCATGCCAGATTCATTACATAATTTTAATAAAGCATAAAAAGCACGCATGCACGCGCTAAATACGTGGGTTTCCTAGAATACACTGCAGTAAATCGTAAACACTATCAGTTTTCCCAGATAAATAATACAAAAAATACAGAATCACTGCAAAGGCTGACATGTGAAAACAGACATAAACACCAAGCCGGTACACAATTTTCATATTTGGAAGTATAATGTTTTGATGATCACATGTCAAATAGGCCTACTATACGAAATGCATAATTTATCTCGGTTATGAATTTAAAGGTAAAAACATTTATACTCATTTACACTCTAGTAAATAGTGCAGGCTATGATTCTTCGACAAAGGTTTTGTCTAGGCTATTTAATTTGTTGGTGTGTAATAAACAGATGAAATTAATAAAAAATAGACCTACGATTAATAAGAGGATGCCGTAGAGATAAGTAGTGGACTCCAGCTACGTTATGCTAAAATCCATGTATCATTAGAAGTATTTCATTTCATTTTTTTTCCAGTGTACACGCAAATCTGCCGTCTCCCATGCAAGGAACGGCTTACAAAATATATTATAAAACTAAAAGCTGCTGAAGACCTTAAAAATCTGCTACGTTGTAATGGGCTATGCTTGCAATATTAAGGATGATATAGCCTAACAACAACGACGACAGATATTATTATTATTATTATTATTATTATTTGTTATTATTGTTAACAACAACAACAACAACAACAACAAAACAACAATAACAATCTTAATAGTTATAATAATAATAATAATAATGGTAGCGATTCTGTTTATGTATGATCTCTTTATTGAACAAGACGTTTCCCAAAAAAGGCACTGCACAACCAAATGTTAAAGCGTGTAAAAGGCACTGAGACTAGGCAGATGTATACTGAAATGATGTTCCCGAGAAAGAAATCCTCCGTACGCAACTAAAATATATTTTCTGGGTTTTCAGGTTTTTGTTTTTTTTTTCAGATTATTTTGAAATATAGGTAATGCAGCAGCATAAATTATATCAGATCACATAACTCAAGATCATAGTCATTGTTTTTGAGAACAGCTACACTTGGATTACACATAGCACCAGGTCAAATCATTGCTGTAAGTTCGCCCTCTCGTGGCTTCGAGCAGTATCAACAAAATGTAAATAAACAAAGGGATGTCTAAGATTCCTTATTATGACATGAAATAAATGATAAAACACACAACAATGTTGAAGTAAATTGGGTATATTGAACACACGGCTAAAACATTTAGGAAACTCGCATCTAGGAAACAAAACTAGCTAGTAGGTTTCTGCGTAGCACTACAGAACTCAAATTTGTGTTTCCAGTATATTCTGCCTCCACAGAGGTAGTTGCTTCTTAAATATATGTCTACTGATGAGATAATAATCAACAAACAATTTATACACCAAGAGTCCTTTGTAAGCTTTTTTGTTCTTTAAGCATAGTCTTAAGAAAACGCCACCGAAACACACGCAGTAGCCTTATATTACTGCATTGTTGCCCTTGCCTAAATCCTCGTTATGAAAGAAACCCCTTATGGAGGAAGTGATATGATTGTATTTATATGGTTTTATTTTACAGCATATCCTAGCCAAACGACGTCTATGTGTAGTATTGCCTGTAGTATTTAACCTAGCACTGTACGAGGTAGGCTAACTGTATGGAGGCATTTAAAGGCAGGCCAGTGGGAGCGAGTGGATGCAGCGGCCATATTGGGCCGTGCTGCACTGCGGCGCCTCTGAGAGGGCGTAGTTTTTCAAAGAGAACCTCAAAAAGGCGCCTTTACTTATTCAAAAAGGTTAAGGGTGACGACCTTGACATTACAGAAGTTCAAATGCAATATTTCATTTTAAGTTTTACATTTGTTGACGACATCTAACGTTGTAAACCACGGTGGAAAAGCCAGTTACTGTAAGTATTAACGTGCTACATTTGTCATAAACCGGCCCGGTAAAGCTTGTAGAAATGCGCAGGATTTCAATTTGAGGATTTCAAAACATAGCACTTTTTTTAATTATATTTTCACTTTTATTTGATCACATACTGAGTTCACATCTTTCTAGACAGAAAAACAAAACATCTGCACCCTTTGTGTTTCAGGGCAAAGTCGCAGTTGAAGTGGATAGTGGGTCCAATAGCCCCAATTTAATTTACTGCCCAGAGTTTATTGTACTGTCTAGACTGTTCAAGGTTTAGTAAATAGCCTTAGTGTAAAACAACATACAAGGAAAGGAATTAGTCAAAGACTTATAAAGTTACCATTGGAAATAGTTCTCTCTCTACCTCACGTTCATTTTTCCTCTGTAATAATCCAAAACATATTCGTCTGAAAAATAAGTAGGTTGAACAGTTTGAAATGCAACTCTGTTAAATAACTTGAATGTTATTTAATAACAACAAATAACTGTTAAATAACACATTTTGTGGCTGACTTGCACGCGCACTATCACACACAAGAGGCGTCACAGCAATAGATAGAAATCTGGTGTATTTTTTATTTATTCAATACATAGATACATTACATGCTTCAAACGAATAAATGCATACACAGTTCTACCTCGGTGTAATTACGTACTGATTTGATGTAACCAAACGCATTGCTGCTTATGCAGAACTTGAATGTATTTCATGGAACAATGCAAAACACAATAAATAAATACAAATACAAAGCTACTGCATTTCAGTGGCATTAACACAGAGTATGAAGAGATTGTCGAGGTACCTATATGTTCCTGATAACTCATAATTTACCTCATCGCGAATACACTGTTGTAGATCATTTGTGCAGAATTTTAATCGCAGAACACATTAATTTTTGATAGCAAATATTTTGCATAGTTTTAAAATACAGAGTTGACGTGAAAATAACTCAGGTGTCCGACGAATGGATGATGTCCCACAATTATGACATAATAGAATAGCCATCGTTTCATCGTCTCGGCCAATATCATGGCTTTCAGAACAATGGATTTCCAGTGAAATACTGGAGACGATCTCGGTTCACCTTTTTCTCTTTCATCCTTCGGTTCTGGAACCAAATCTTCACTTGTCGGTCTGTAAGACTGAGCATTCTTGACAAATGCAGACGTTTC